TTCATGATTATCGTTCATTGTGCTGTCAATTGCTGCATCTCTTGCAGACCAGATGGGACGTCAGTGCCGCTACTACGCAGCTTCAGTCCAAGCAGACAAAGCCCACCATCGCTGACATGAAGGCCTTAATTCTAACTCTAGATCGAGCCAAGAGGAATCGGCATGGCATGGGTTTGTATTTTCATCGTCTACATGGTCCATTCAAGCTATCTTCCATAACAGATGCAAATCACGGCTCGAGGGTAACAAGCTATGCTCATGAAGCTCAAGGATTGTTCTTATGCGAGGACAGACCAATCAGAATCACGAAAGATGGCCTGCTTTGTCCGGATGATTACAGTAAGTTCATTTCCAAGGCCCATCCGTTATCAGGCACATCTAAGAAAGGCAAGCGGATCAGTTACTCCACATCACATGCAGAGGCAGTGTCAGCAGTTGGTGGATCTCAGAACGCTCAGTACGTAGCTCTTCGTTATACGGAATTATTGATGAAGCCATGGATCACCAGGACAGCAACTACGACACTTCAAGGTTTGATGAATCTACAAGATCAAGGTCTGACAGTTATGCCAGTTGAAATGGGAACGGATTGCTTTGATTTGTATCAATTGATTGTTGGACAGAAAGGTATACCAGTGGACAAAACTCAGAGATTGTGTATCTTATCATTGCGTGAGGATCGCGTGAGTGGCAGAATGATGCGCGTATTCCACCTACCTACGGATTTGATGATAATGGATGGTTTGACTAAGGTGGGAACGTTTCCAAAGTTAATGCAGTATATGACGACAGGTATCATCGATTTGACCATGTCTACTTCTACAGGCACCACTACGAACATCAAGAAGCAGAACGAGAAGCCGATCACGATCAGGAACAGTAGCGTGAAGATGAACTTCCAGGAGATCGACTTAGTCGAGTTATCTGAGGCGCCTGCTAGCGCCTTCAATCTTCCTACCTATCCTCAAGAAGCAGGATCAGAGTAAGGATATCAGTTGGCCCCTGGAGTTAGGTAGAGGATATTATAAGCAGACAGAGTAGAGTGTTCAGAATGAACTGAAGAGTGAGATGCTCCGCGACATCGCGGATCAAGTCACCCAGAAAAGCATTCATAAGCTAACTAAAACCGGGGGGGGGTCACTACCGGTTCGAACCCCTCACCCCCCCCCCCCTCCGGATCCGGAAAACCGGGGGGGGTCACTACCGGTTGGACCCCCCCCCCCCCCCCCCTCGAAAACCGGAAGGGGGTCACTACCGGTTCGACCCCCTCCCCCCCACGCACCGCCAGCAAACGACTCCCGGTCCCTACCACCGCTCGCATGACATCCCCCACTGTTGTTCCCAGCACCACTGTCCTCACCACCACTGCCCCCGCTGGTTCCACCACCGTCCCTATTGTCCCCACCAGTGCCCCCACCACTGTCGCACTGTCCCCACTGTTCCCACAACTGTTCCCACCACGGTTCCACTCTCCCCACTGTCTCCACGGACCCAACCACTGCCTATCCCCACTGTCCCCACTGTCCCACTGACTCCTCCGCTGTCCCACTGAGCTGTCCCACTGTTCCCACCACTGTCCCCACTGTCCCCACCACTGTCCCCACTGTACCTCTGTCCCATTGTCCCACCGCCGTCCTCGCCACCGCCTTTACCAGTGTCCCCACCACCATTGTACCCTCCACTGTCCCAGTGTTTCCACCTCATTCCCACTGTCCCCACACCACTGTCCCCACCACCACCGTTCCCACCACTGTCCACTGTCCCCCCTGTTCCCACCATTGTCCCCACCACTGTCCCCACCACTACCGTCCCCACTGTCCCACTGTCCCACTGTCCCCACCACTGTCCCGCTGTCCCCTCACCACTGTCCCCACCAACACCGTCCCCACCACTGTCCGCACCCCCACTCGGTTTTCGAGGGGGGGGGGGGGGTTCGAACCGGTAGTGACCCCCCCCCCTTTTCATGATGAGCTGGGGGGGGGGGGGGGGGTTCGAACCGGTAGTGACCCCCCCCGGTTTTCCGGAGGGGGGGGGGGGGAGGGGTTCGAACCGGTAGTGACCCCCCCTGGTTTTCCGCCAGCAGCGGTAGAACACGCTTTTTCCGATCTGCGAAGCAGTCGCCACTTTCGAACGCTGTTGGAAGGGTCCAGCGGAACGATGCCCCATGCGGACCGAAATTCGACCTCGCCATCCCTGGGGGGGTGCGGTTGCGAAGCTGTCGCAACTTTCGACGGCAGCTGGGGGTCGAACGGAACGACGCCCCACGCGGACCGAAACTAAACCTCGCCATCCCTAGGAGGCTGCGATCTGCGAAGCTGTCGCCACGTTCGACTACTGCTAGGGGGGTCCAGCGGAGCGACGTCCCACGCGGACCGAAATTGAACCTCGCCATCCTTGGGGGGCTGCGATCTGCTGGTGGGGTGTCCCACGGAACGACGCCCAGCGCGGCCGACCTCGCCATTCCTGCTGGGGGGGGGGGGGCGATATGCGAAACTGTCGCCACCTTCGAGGGCTGCTGGGGGTCCAATAGAGTGACGCCCCGCGGGTCCCGGAGACATGGCGGCGCGCCTGCGGGCGTTGAGCTCCCGCGCTGCACTGTGCAGGCATGAAGCGGGGAACCTGGTAGGCGAAATCAGCCTCGCTCGCTTCTCGCACTAGATCCCAACAGCTCATCGCTGGAGCGCCAGAGCGACATGGCACGGGCCGCGTTGCTTGTCCAACGCGCCACTGAAAAATGACCGTCAACCTCATTCCTCATCCTGTTTCGTTTGTTGTTGTCGCGTTAACTTGTCGGCCGCTCGTCCGTCCTTTTCTTGTCTCTCGTTCCCACCGCCACTTCCTCTCCGAGCCGAACGTCTCGGTACTCGTGTTTTTGCTCTGCCTTGTGAATCGCGTAGCGCGCGCGCTTCTCATATAGCTTGTACGACAAATGACAGATCCTGTGCTGCCATCTGCCCAAAAAATCTGGACCAGCCCCTCTCGGGTTGGGTACGTCGCAGGGTAATCGTTTCCGTTGGTTTGTCATAAGAGGTGCTGGTTTTAGCTGGATGCTCATTGATATGGTCATCGGTATCTGTTGCGTTTACACTCTTGCTCATAGCGTTGTCATTGTTTGCTGTCCCGTCGAGCGCGCGTCTTGCAGTTGTTTCTCACAAGGCGCAGATGCCGTATTTGTCGGCAGGCAAAGCGTATTTGTTATATGTGTGTCACGCTGTTGCCCTTTTTCTTACACATCGGAGGTTGGGGGGCGAGATCCCAGTGAAACGGAGACCCCCACCGGGAAATCGGTTTCTGTTTCGCGTTCGTGTCGTGCGTGCGGGCGAGGCGAAGCTGCGCGTGATCCTCCTGTAGCTAGGCCGAAGTAGGAGCGAAAGTCCGTTCTCGTCCGCCGGTGGCTGGGAGGTGCCCCAGTTGGGCCGGGCGGTGTCCCGGGTGTCCCGGGTGTCAGTAGGAGCGGAGGTCCGTTTCCCGTCCGCCGGTGGCCGGCAGGTGTCCCAGTTGGGCCGGGCGGTGTCCTGGGTGTCCCGGGTGTCCCGGGCGTCCCGGCGCTAACGCGTGTCGCTAATTTCATAATTCATTTTTGTCGGCGCCTGCTGCGGGCTTTCCTATCCAATCCAGCTTATCTGACCCAAACCATCTTGTCCAATCCAATCTTATCTTATCCAACCCATATTGTCCCATCTTATCTTACCCCACCCAATTCAATCCACCCAACCCGATCCATCAATTCATTGGTTTCTGCGCCTGCGGCGGGCCAGTCCAATCCATCTTATCTTATCCAATCCATATTTTCCAATCCAACCCATCTTATCTGATCCATTCCATGTTATCCCATCCAATCCAATCCACTCAACCCAATCCATCAATTCATTTTTGTCGGCGCCTGCGGCGGGCTTTCCTCTCCAATCCAGCCTATCTGACCCAAACCATCTTGTCCAATCCATATCCATATTATCTTATCCAACCCATACTGTCCCATCTTATCTTACCCCACCCAAATCAATCCACCCAACCGAATCCGTCAATTCATTTTTGTCGGCGCCTGCGGCGGGCTTTCTTATCCAATCCATCTTGTCCAATCCAATCAATTTTGCCCCATCTTATATTATCCCACCCAATCCACTCCATCCAACCCAATCCAGATAGAGAAGGAGAGAGACAGAGAGAGACTCTGATCGAGACTCGGATAGAGAGGGAGAGAGAGGGCGAGAGAGAGAGAGAGATAGAGAGAGAGAGAGAGAAAGAGAAAGACACAGAGAGAGAGAGAAAGACAGAGAGAAAAAGAGAGAGAGAGATGATATCAAGGTGGCAGGCTAGAGGTCAGTCAGGGTGGGCATTTGATCTCAATCCCCCCCCCCCAACCTCCTTATCGCCCGCAGGGCGGTCGTGTAGGTATATATATATATATATATATATATAGATATAATGGTTGCTCCGCAGGGTTCGTCGTTTTGCCTCCTCGCCTCGCACAAATCATTGCGTTGTATCATGGAGTCGCAGAGCGCATATGTTTGTACTATGGCCTCGCATGGGCTTTTTGGCATCGCAGAGAACATGCTTTTGCACCATGGCTTCGCAAACCCATCGGCAATACCGTTGGGACAACCGTCGGAACAATCACCAGGATAACCATCGGAACAACCATCGAGTCAAACACCAGGACAGCCATCGGGACAACCATCGGGACAACCATCGGGGCACCCACCGGAAGCGAAGATGGTGTGTGTACGTGTGTGTATGTGTGCGTATCATGTGGTGTGTATGTGTACGTATCCTAAGTGCCGTATGTTTTTGGGCTAGGTGCCGAATAGCGCGGTTAGACTTTATCCCCGTGGGCCACCTCTTGGCGGGCCCGTTTCTGATGTCGTGTGCCTGCAGCATGTCCCCCCTTTCGTCTGACCTGAACCTTCGTCCGACGCGCGGCGTCTGGGCTGGCGCCCGGGAGGTCTTGCCCGCGGCGCCCCGGCCCGGCAAGCCCGAGCCGCCTCCGCAGCCAGGCCTCACTCGCCGAGGCTGCTGATGCTGCTCGTCCCGCTGCACGAGCTGTCCTCGGAACCATCCGCCGCCGTGCCCGGGGAGGCACGAGCTGGAGCGTGCTCAGGTCCTTGGGGTCCCCCACCCTCAATCCTGAAGGCTCTCCCAAGGGTACAGCGGCCAGCGGCCTCCGAGGAGCTCCCGAGAGGCCTCCCAGAGGCTTCGGAGAGGCTCTGACCTACCACCAGGGAGCGAGGGCGGGATGGGCCGAAAGCCACGCGATAGGAGCTCCGGGCTGACCGACGCCGCATGAGGATTCTCGACATCGTCATCTCTGGCAGGGCGTGCTGAGGAAGGCCTGGCCCTTGGTTGGCGGTGACGCTGCGCCGGATGCGGCGCCGCTGGGCGACCTTCGCGAACAGGTTCTCGTCGGCGAAGCTCTCGGAACCGCTGCCGCCCGGCTCAGTAGATGGGCTGCTGGGCAAGCACTCGGCCTCCAGCTCCAGCAGCCCTGACGTCCGCCGACGTGTTTCGTTCGCGCCCGCGGCCCCAGGAGGTGCCGACCGATTCCCGAGGGGCCATTTCTCGCCCCTCGAATCCCCGGGGCCCGACAACTGGCCCCCGAAGGCCGGGATCGCAGAAGAACCTCCGGATCGAGACACTCACGAGGGCGCCTAACTGCGCGCTCTCGCGCGGCGCGACGCGCGAAGAACGTCGCGCCCTCGAGGGCGCCCCCCAGCGGAGAAGAGGAGGGACAACGAAGAGGACCCGGAACCCAACCGCGAAACGCGAAGAACATCGCGCCCTCGAGGCCGCCCCCCAGGGGAGAAGAGGAGGCTTAGGAGGACCCGGAGGCCAACCGCGAAGCGTGAAGAACATCGCGCCCTCGAGGGCGCCCCCCGGGGGAGAAGAGGAGGAGTAGGAGGACCCGGAGCCGAACCGCGAAGCGCGGAGAACATCGCGCCCTCGAGGGCGCCCCCCAGGGGAGAAGAGGAGGATTAGGAGGACCCGGAGCCGAACCGCGAAGCGCGAAAAACATCGCGCCCTCGAGGGCGCCCCCCGGGGGAGAAGAGGAGGACGAATGTCTAAAAACTGTTTAGAAGATTGGGGGAAACACTTAAAACAATGTTTTCCCCAGCGGTGTAGTGCGCTTGTAGAAAACAAAAGGGAGGCGGGGCAAACTGGATCGCTGGAAACGCCCCCGCGACCGCCCTGGCGCCCTGCGTGCAGGGGCAGATTCCTGCGCACCCCCTCTTGGCGTGAGGCCACGCCTGCCACGCCTTGCGACCCCAGCGTGGATAGAGAATGCGTTCAGGGGCCATTCCCTGCGCACCGCGCACCTTGTCTGGGTTGCGAAGCGGCACTGAATATGCAAATGCGGCAAGCCGCTGGTAGATTTTCAACAGCGGGGGCGATGTTGAATTTCAAAACCCAATGACGAGAACCCAATGTAAAAATTCATTCGCTGATCGGAAGACGGGAACATCCCAACGTGGATAAACGACACTGAATGCAAAATACCAAGCGCCAGCGCGCGCGGCGGCGGCATGCCGCTGATAGATTTTGGTACCACGGGACGATATTTCGCGCGCGCGGCGGCGGCATGCCGCTGATAGATTTTATACAACAGGGCGAAATTCGATTTCCAAAACCGAATGGCGAAAACCCAATGTAAAAATTTATCCCCTGATCGGAAGACGGGAACATCTCAATCTGGATATACGACACTGAATGCACATGTGCAAATCGCCAGCGAGCGCGCGCGCGCGCGGCGGCGGCATGCCGCTGATAGATTTGCTACAACGGGAGCGATGTTACACTCCAAAACCCAATGGCGAAAACCCAATGTAAAAATTCATTCTCTGATCGGAAGACGGGAACATTCCAATGTGGACATGCGACACTGAATGCAAGAATGCCAATCGCCAACGCGCGCGCGGCGGCGGCATGCCGCTGAAAGATTTTATACAGCGGGAACCACGGTGAACTCCAAAACCCAATGGCAAAAACCCACTGTAAAAATTCATTCTCTGATCGGAAGACGGGGACATGCCCATGTGGAGATACGACACAGAATGCACAGATGACAATCGCCAACGCGCGCGCGCGCGCGCGCGCGCGCGCGCGCGCGCGCGGCGGCATACCGCTGATAGATCTTTATACAACGGGAGCCATGTTGAACTCCAAAACCTAATGGCGGAAACCCAATGTCAAAATTCATTTTCTGATCGGAAGACGGGAGCATCCCCACGTGGATGTGCGACGCTGGATGCACAAATGCCAATCGCCAACGCGCGCGCGGCGGCGGCATGCCGCTGATAGATTGTTATACAACGGGAGCCATGTTGAACTTCCAAACCCAATGGCGAAAACCCAATGTAAAAATTCATTCTCTGATCGGAGAACGGGAACATCCCAATGTGGATAGCGACGCTGAATGCAAACATGCCCATCGCCAGCGCGCGCGCGGCGGCTGCATGCCGCTGAGAAGTTTTATACAACGGGGGCGATGTTGAACTCCAAAACCCAATGGCAAAAACCAATGTAAACATTCATTCTCTGATCGGAGGACGGGAACATCCCCTAATTGGATATACGGCACTGGATGCACAGATGATAGTCGCCAACGCGCGCGCGCGCGCGCGCGCGCGCGGCGGCATGCCGCTGACAGATTTTTATACAACGGGAGCCATGTCGAACTCCAAAACCCAATGACGAAAACACAATGTAAAAATTCATTCTCTGATCGGAGGACGGGAGCATCCTCATGTGGATGTGCGACACTGGATGCACAAATGCCTATCGCCAACGCGCGCGCGGCGGCGGCATGCCGCTGAAAGATTTTATACAACGGGAGCGATGTTGAACTCCAAAACCCAATGGCAAAAACCCAATGTAAAAATTCATTATCTGATCGGAAGACGGGGACATCCCCATGTGGAGATACGACACTGAATGCACAGATGACAATCGCCAGCGCGCGCGCTTGTAGTTTTGTTACAACGGGGGCGATGTTGCACTCCAAATCCCAATGGCGAAAACCCGATGTGAAAATTCATTCTCTGATCGGAAGACGGGAACTTCCCAATGTGGACATGCGACACTGGATGCACAAATGCCAGTCGCCAGCGCGCGCGCTGGTAGTTTTGTTACAACGGGGGCGATGTTGAACTCCAAATCCCAATGGCGAAAACCCGATGTAAAAATTCATTCTCCGATCGGAAGACGGGAACATCCACATCGGCATTCTCCCTGGTACCGAGGTATATACATGTGGCATCGATCGGCATCCGTGGCATTTTCTCGAAGAGGGGACAGATAAACAAATAGTTATTCGAATGCGAACTAATGCCAGTCCGGATCCGGGGCGGGAGGGGGGGGGTCATCATTTGTTCAACCGGTTTTAGACATTAAGAGGACCCGGAGCCGAACCGCGAAGCGCGAAGAACATTTCGCCCTCGAGGGCGCCCCCCAGGGGAGAAGAGGAGGACGAGGAGGACCCAGCGCCGAACCGCGAAGCGCGAAGAACATCGCGCCCTCGATGGCGCCCCCCGGGGAAGAAGAGGAGGATTAGGAGGACCCGGAGCCGAACCGCGAAGCGCGAAGAACATCGCGCCCTCGAGGGCGCCCCCCCGGGGGAGAAGTTGAGGATTAAGAGGACCCGGAGCCGAACCGCGAAGCGCGAAGAACATCGCGCCCTGGAGGCCGCCCCCCGGGGGAGAAAAGGAGGACGAGGTAGACCCAGACCCGAACCGCGAAACGCGAAGAACATCGCGCTCTCGAGGGCGCCCCCCAGGGGAGAACAGGAGGACGAGAAGGACTCGGAGCCGAACCGCGAAGCGCGAAGAACATCGCGCCCTCCAGGGCGCCCCCACGGCAGAAGAGGAGGACGAGGACCCGGAGCCGAACCGCGAAGCGCGAAGAACATCGCGCCCTCCAGGGCGCCCCCCAGGGGACAAGAGGAGGATTAGGAGGACCCGGAGCCGAACCTCGAAGCGCGAAGAACATCGCGCCCTGGAGGCCGCCCCCCAGGGGAGAAGAGGAGGACGGAGTGGACCCGGAGCCGAACCGCGAAGCGCGAAGAACATCGCGCCCTCGAGGGCGCCCCCCAGGGGAGAAAAGGAGGACGAGGTAGACCCGGAGCCGAACCGCGAAGCGCGAAGAACATCGCGTCCTCGAGGGCGCCCCAAGGGAGAAGAGGAGGATTAGGAGGACTCGGAGCCGAATCGCGAAGCGCGAAGAACATCGCGCCCTCGAGGCCGCCCCCCAGGGGAGAAAAGGAGGACGGAGTGGACCCGGAGCCGAACCGCGAAGCGCGAAGAACATCGCGCCCTCCTCGAGGGCGCCCCCCGATCGGGAAAAGAGGAGGACGAGGTGGACCCGAAGCCGAACCGCGAAGCTCGAGGAACATCGCGCCCTCGAGGGCGCCCCTCAAGGGAGAAGAGGAGGACGAGGAGGACTCGGAGCCGAACCGCGAAGCGCGAAGAATATCGCGCTCTCGAGGGCGCCCCCCGGGGGAGAAGAGGAGGACAAGGTGGACCCGGAGCCGAACCGCGAAGCGCGAAAAACATCGCGCCCTCGAGGGCGCTCCCCATGGGAGAAGAGGAGGACGAGGTGGACCCGGAGCCGAACCGCGAAGCGCGAAGAACATCGCGCCCTCCAGGGCGCCCCCCAGGGGAGAAAAGGAGGACGAAGTGGACCCGGAGCCGAACCGCGAAACGCGAAGAACATCGCGCCCTCGAGGGCGCTCCCCATGAGAGAAGAGGAGGACGAGGAGGACTCGGAGCCGAACCGCGAAGCGCGAAGAACATCGCGCCCTCCAGGGCGCCCCCCAGGGCAGAAGAGGAGGATGGGAAGGACTCGGAGCCGAACCGCGAAGCGCGAAGAACATTGCGCCCTCGAGGGCGCCCCCCAGGGGAAAAGAGGAGGATTAGGAGGAGTCAAAGCCGAACCGCGAAGCGCGAAGAACATCGCGCCCTCGAAGGCGCCTTTGAACCACCTCGTCGGCTCTCCGGCCATGGGCCCCCCGGCGGCCGTCCCGGACGATCCCGGCCGCGGCAACCCCGCGGAACGTCGACGAGGCGCAGCCGCTGAGGAGCATCCCGAGGCTCTGGCAAACCGACGAGGCGCAGCCGCTGAGGAGCATCCCGAGGCTCTGGCAAACCGCCAGGCACTCCTCCCTTCTCCTCCCTCGTCCTCCTCCTCCTCCTCCTGCTCCTCCTCCTTTTCCTCCTCCTCCTCCTCCTCCTCCTCCTCCTCCTGCTCCTCGAGAGAGAGAGAGAGAGAGAACAAAAAAAAAAAAACTTAGAAGAGTCCACCAATGTCCTTCAGCTCGCCCGACTGCCGCCTGGCCCAGCCACTACGGCTGGCCTGCGGACTTGGTGCCTCGCTGTGGGCACGACAAAGAGACGCGCCTGCTCGGTGAAAGGGGGGTCATGCAGGTGCCGGAGCGCATTGTGGAGATACAAAGCGAAAGCACAAACAAAAACATACTCGCGGTTCGGAGCAATG